TGAAACCTTCGCCTTCGGGTAACTGGGTTTCTGGTTGCTGGCAAACTCGTCTTTTTAAAGAACTCTAGTCTTTCAGCTGAAGTCAAGCTTCAGTAAGATTTGTTCTCCAAAGGCATGAGTCCATGGACAATTCTGGGATATTGCCTTAACTGAGCCTTGTATCCCAGAAAGCCATTATACGAAGCATTGCCTTCAGTTGGCCTGTGTTTCGAATACCCATTTTTAAGAAATAAAGAAATTGTTTATTCAGCTGAAGCCATACTTCAATTTCTGGGGGGGCAAGAAGCACTACCAGTGCAAGTTCATGTTCAGCAGAATTGAAGAAACAGTAAAGCACTCAAAAACAAAGCAGCTGAAGAAAAGAACATCAAATTAATAATTTATGCTCAGAAATTGAGCTACAAGTTCAAATAAGTTAAGAAACTATATCGGCAGCCGCCCACAAGCGGAAAATAACAGCTGCCGAAATACGTACAGAAGCAAAAAAAATAAACTGTTTTGTACGACAAGGCAAGCTGAAGCAAAAAACAAACAAGGCAAAAATTCAGAAAGCGGCAAGTCTAAAGTTGAGCGCATGATGAACCACAAGATTCTGAAGACGACTGCCCGAGTTCCTATGCTTCAGCCCGAGGATCAGACTGGTCAGCATTGTTGGGCCCCATGGTGGTCTCAGCCCCAGCAGCAGAAGAAGCAGGCTTTGCACTCTGCCGAGCCTCCCTTTCCCTCTGTTCAGCCTCCAACTCCATTCTCTCAGCTTCTTCTTCGGCTTCCTCAGCCTTAAGGATTTCAGCTTCGACTGGAGTTGCATACTTCATATGAGGGTCTTCGGGATCCTAGACCCATTCAGCACATTTGGACCAGTCCAACTTCGGCTCAGCATGAAGGCAGACTCTTCGGCACACTCTGAACCCGTTTCTGAAACCCATTTCATATTCTTCCTGGGTATAGACACGGACTTTGAGTAGAGTCTCAGCATCAGCCAACTTCTTCTGGGTCTCCTCCAAGTCTTCCTTGGATTTCTTCAGCTCATCGACGAGCTTGAAGGAGGAACCTTTCAGCTCATTCAGCTGCTGCTGAACTTGGGAAGCCTCTGTCTGGCCTGGGCCACTTCTTCCTTTTTGGCCATCAGCTGATCCTTGGAGCTTAGCTCTCTGAGCTTCAGCAGCAGCCTCTGAGAGTTGGACATCCCTGGCTTGGAGCATCTCTTCAGCAGCCATTCTGCTGGCTTCAAGAGCTTATAGCCGTTGCTGCACTTCAGCTTGTGCAGCAGCTCCTTCCTGGATTCGGCTCTCAATGGTAGCCTTGAATTTGGAGATGTCCACTCCCATGTGCTCTTGGAGGAATTTTTCCCCTTCCATCAGTGGGGGAAAAACTTCCTTCTCCATAGCATCGCAGAAGGTTTTGAAGGCTTCAGCAGCTTTTTTCTCATATTCTTCACCCTTCTGCTGCTTCTCTTCAGCTGCTGCTTGCTTCAGCTTAGCAAACTTTAACTCCTCTTCAGCTACCTTTTTGTTGTGCTCGGCAGCATCTACCCTATCTTGTAGGGTATCTATCAGCTCTACAGTGAGAGTCTGATTGTGCACGAACTGAAAACAGGAGCACAAGTTAAAATAAAAAATAATAATAATAATGATAAGTAAAGAGCTGAATTTTAAAGGAGATAAAGGCAAGGAAAATCACCTGCATCATCAGCAGTTGGTTAGACCTGGCTGGGTCAGGAATTGATCTGCTGGATTCGCCCATCCCAGTAGTGGCCTTCAGCGACCAGATTCTTGCCCTATCTACTTCGGACATGCCAGCAAAATCGCCGAAGTAGGCTGCAGCACCTTCTCGGTTCTGACCCCATATGAGGTCCCAGATGTGATCTGGGATTGGAATTCGGGGGGCCGAGAAACCCATTTCTCCAGATTGCAGAGTCTGGAAGGAAGGAAAGGATGACGATGGAGCTTCTTTAACTTTGGATGGCTCAGCATCCTCCTTCTCAGAAGAGTCAATTATTATGACCTCTTCTTCTTCAGGGGTGAGGACGAAGGCCTCAACCTCTCTTGCAATGTCTGCCGTGAAACCCTCAGCAGGGCATCACGGCATCCTCATTCTTGTGCTCAGCAGCACTCTCTTGAACTTCTTCTTGGACCCCTCCCTTAGGTTCGGGAGTTTTCTGATCCACCTCCATCTCGGGAGGTGGCGGAGGGGTCTTTGGAGGTGATTGAGGTGGTGGCCGGGGAACCCTCGGCGATCCATTGCCTTCCTCGGGTTCCCTTATTTCGACGCCGATGGTCATCGGCCTCCGCTGAAAGTCATGGGGGCCGATGATGGCCATTCTTCGGCGCCTTTTCTGAAGCGGCTGCTCGTCCATGTCTGAGTCTGAGGACTCTTCTTGTATCTGGTCTTCGGGACGAACAGGGGCTTTCCCTTCTCTGTGTCTATTACTCTCTTCAGACTGTAAAATACAAGGGGGGAGGAAGAATGTGAGTAAAAAAAAAAAAAAACAACAAACAGAAACAAATAAAATTAAGTCTGAAAGCTCACCGAGGTCTTCAGCAAAGCCTCGTCTTCTTCAGCTGCCCTAGCTGCAGCTTCTTCTTCAGCAGCCCTGGAGGACCCTTCTCCTCCTTCACAAGCTTCAATAACCCGTGCAACCTCTTCGGCCGTACGGGCAGCTTCAGCTTCTTCGTCCAGCAGCTGAAACCAGGGATCTCTCTTCTTCCACCAAGGCTTCTGCCTCTGATACAGAGCAACAGCCTCAATTTGGAAGTGGGAAGAATCTAGATGAACTTCTCTATGCCGCGGTTCAGTGATAGAGGGGGCCCGATCAGTTACAACTCGTTCTCGGTTGACGCCAAGACGAGCGTAGTTAATGCCGACGTTGGTCTCGTCCCGCTCTGAAAAAGAAAAGGGGAAAGGTCAGTTCAGTTAGGTTGGCACAGCATAAAAAAGCGAAGTGAGAGGAGAAAAAGAGATAATTAAAAGGCCTCGGCCCCAGCCGAAGAAGCTTACCATCCTTATACTTTCGGCTGAGGCCGACAGCTGCTAGCATGTTCTCTTGGAAAACATAATGCGTATCGGGGAGCCAAGTCTCCGGGATATGCTGCATTCGGCCGCTGCCCCCCCGGTTCGGCAGCTTGCCGAAGATATTCTGTTGATTAAGGTTTGGATCTGGGCCGTTATCTGCGGGGGGACCTAAACTTCCCATGTCGGGATCAGGCTCAGCAAGGTACCGGGGAGCGCTGAAGACGCAAGGGTGGCCCGGGTCCGTGGGTGCCCTAACCCAAATCCATTGACCTCTCCAGTCCTTGTCTGAAGAGTCGTTCGGCCACATGGTTAGGTACTGGGGCCGAGACTCAATCCGGTACCACCCAGAACCATGACTTCCGTGCCCACTTTGAATATTTGGCACTAGCCGATGAAGCTTTTTGAAGCAGTGCAGGTTCGGCACATACCTGAAGAACTTGCAGACCCATAAGTATGTCATCACCCTTCGGATGCTAATAGGAGTTAGCTGACATAGGGAAATATTGTAATGGATCAGCAAGTCTCGGACGAATACGTCCAAAGGGAACCTCAGCCCATACTAAAGTTGTCTTGTGTACACCCCCACATACCCCGGGGGTGGACGATGGATTCTATCGGATGCCACGGGCATTCGGCACCAATACCCATCAGCTTCAAGGATGCCGTAATGCAACTCAATTTGTTCGGCAAACCAATACTGTTCGGCATTCTCCACCCACCATGAGTAGGGGCGGTTCTTTATCATGGCCGAAGCTACTTCGGCATCCTCCCACTCTGAAAACCCGGGAAGGATATCCCAAAGGACAGCGGGAACTTCATCGTCCCGCCCAGAAGCGCTCGGCCCCTCCGTTCTCTGAGGAGGAGCCGAGGAAATTGGAGTCGCCCTAATCCCTTCAGCAGGGTCAGACTCTGCTCTTTGTCCATTCCAGGTCCCAATCCTGTTCCTGGGATCGGGAATTGGCCTTGCTCTTCTTGGAGCACGGGCTCTACCCCTAACTCCTCTCGCCATTGATAATTTCGAAGAAAAAAGTCGAAAAAAAGGGAAGGAGTTCAAATTCGAAGAAAAATAAACTAAAATCAAAGGAATTTACCTTAATCTGAAGCGAAAGTTGCCGATTTACGAATTGGTAGTGGCGAGTCTCAGTTTCTAAGCTTAATGCTCGGGGAATTTGCGAAGTTTTGATGCGGGTTCTTGGGTTCTCTTGAGAATTCTGGGTTTGTGTTGGTGAATAAGTGAGGAGAGATGACGCGCCTCTAATTATATCTCCAGAAATGGGAATACGGGGAGTCCGCGTTTCAATTTCTCTTAAATACCCCACTAAGTAACCGTTAAACACACGACCTTGCGATTAAACTGCCCATTATCCGTCCAACTTCCACAATTATCCGCCTTAACTGTTGTTATCTCATTAATTACGATTTAATTACGGTTTAAATTCAAATTTTTGGATTAATTAAATCATTCACTTCCCTCCTTTTCTGATTAAATCAAACCCGACCCGTCATCCTTCCAAATCGGGTCTGGGGGGCAAGTTGTTTGGGTCCAATTTAGTCCAATTGGGCCTAGGCATTAAATGATCCAATTAAAAGCCCAAGGTCAAGGTTCATCTCTCCAATTGTGCTAAAGTCAAAGATCAGTCCTCAAGGCAAGCCAATTGGGCTAAGGCCCAACTTCTCCATGTATGCAAAGGTATAAAAGTCATCAATATTACATTTGTACATTCATTCAAGCAAAGCCTCAAGCAATTAATTCTCTTGCATAGTGTTCTCTTTCTACACACTGTACTGACTTTAGCATCGGAGGGGCCTTCCTCGGCAACACCCCCGAGGCTAGTTTACGTGTGTTTACTGTGCAGGAAACCTTCGGCCCAACATTACTTGGATCGAATCTAGTCTTCTCCACTTCATCGGACCTTCGACAAGGTCCCATTGTTTTCACCCGAAACAAGGCATATATAAAGAGGTAGCATAGAAGTTCAAATACAAACCTGAGAACTAGCACGAAACGACAGACAAAGTAAAGTTGCTTTAGGAAGATCCACATTGTCGCGATCAACCACATTTCCATCTGACCCAATAGGGAGCTTAAAACTTTTACCATCAGAATAACTAACTTCCACTGATGGAAACTTTGCAGCTACAGCAGCAGGGATTAGAGTCTTACTTGCCATAGCAATCTAACCAGAATAACACAAGTCCAAAAACATCAAATTTACAACAAATCCCATTTGCATATTGTCTAAAACAAGCAAAATAACATCAAACTTCAACATTTTTTCACAGAAATAAATTGAAAACCCCTTTAAAAAATGTCTAAAATTAACAACTAAAAAATTTACCTTGCCACCATTTTTTTTGAGATCAGACATATCAGCAAAATATCCCCTACTCATCTCATCTTTACTGTCCTAAATTTAAACAAAAATTATCACACATCAAAATGCATAAATATCAAATTTTTGAAATCCAAAAAATATACTCGTAAAATAAAAAACACAGTTGACAAATCATGAATACATACAGTCGAGCACGTTCTTTCTCAATTGCATCTTTGTTACCCATCTGAAAATACATATTAACATCAATTATCATTCAATACAAAAAAAAAAAAAAAACCATCAAAAAAAATTGAACAAGATTCAATAGGGCATTGATAGTAAGAGAAAAACACCTGGTAGAAATCGAGAAAGCGGACAGAGGTAGAGTTTGAAGGATGAGAAAATGGGGAAAATGTGAAAGATTCATGATTTGCAAATTGTTTCCGAGAACTTAGAATTGATCGTCTTACAGTGGATGCTTGGTTTGTGAAACGTCTCACTCTCCACATTTTTTTGTCTAACTATCGAGCACGGTGAGCAGAGAGTTCTGCTGATGATGGGGCAGTTCAGAATTTAGACCCGGCAATCCCGACCCGACCCGTAATCCGAAAAATGACCCGAAATAATCAACCTGAAAATTACCCGATTTGAAGTGGAGTACTTAACTTGATACCTGAAGTTGACTTGACCTAATTGTACCCGACCTAAAATTGATGTGATATTCGAAATAATTCGACCCGAAGTTGATCCAATACCCGAATTGACCAGACTCGATTTTAACTTAATTTGATTGACCTGAACAGACCCGATACCCTAAATGACCCAAACTATAATTACCTTTTTCCCGAAATGATTCGAACTAAAAATAATTGATACCCAAAATGACCTAATTGGTTCTAGCAAACCAATTTCCTTTGTCATACAATTAAACGATGTTAATTATTAGTACGATCTGTTAATCATTTCAAATTCTAAAATATTTTAAATCTTTATTTCGCAATGTTAATGGGGAGAATGCAAGGGAATTAGCAATGTAACATGTGTCAATGATATATGTTTCGGGGTTTTTGGAGTCCCTCGGGAGAGTTACAATTCTGGGAATGCGCGCCGACCGTCTGTACCTGCAAAATAACGAAACTCCGGTTGGGTGGAGTTCCGCCTCCGACGATCAAGTTAGAACGTCTCCGGATGTAATAAAGTGCGGAAAGTAAGTGGATTTTCTCTTTGATTCAGAGAGAATTCTGCAATTAAGATTGCTCGATTTTTGTGTTTGTATTTATGAGTGTTTCTGAATGTATCATAAATGAGGAGTTTCCTCTATTTATAGTAGAGGAAGATATGTTCCCCTATTAGGATTATAGTGCCACGTGTCAGCATCCGATTGGATCCCATTGGGACTCTCTGGGGCTGACACGTGTCAACTTGCTATTGGACCACGTGGCATAGGGTATTTTTACCCCAAACATTTGCCCCTCACAGGTGTGACGTGGCTTGCCACGTGGCACTTGTGACATGTATCACATTCTGGGAAGGTGACGGTTCGTCTCCTTCCCTCCATTTTTTTTTGGGATTCGAATTGGATGGGGAGGTGACGATTCGCCTTCTGCCCCCCTCCTATAAATGGGAGGCTTCCTCCTCTCATTCCATACTTTGCAAATTTTTCAAAAAACTTCCTTGAGAGAAAAAAGCTTTGACACCGGCTGCTCTTGCGTTCAACCAGCTCCTTTGATTCAGACACGTCAAAATACCGTTTGAGTACTTCTTTGATCAACTCACCACTTAGTCAATTTTCTCTTCTTGATTTCAGTAGACCCATAGTCGGTCTTATACCGTCTTGGGCACCTTTAAGCAATTTCTTTCATAAACTGCATTTAATGGACCCACAGCCGGTCTTATACCGCCTGGGCACCTCTGAGCAATTCTCTTCAAAAACTGCATTCATCAGACCCACAGTCAGGCTTATGCTGTTTGGGGCATCTTTAAGCAATCTTCAAAGACTGCATTCAATAGACCCACAGCCGTTCTTATACCGCCTAGGGCATCTTTGAGCAATTTTTTTCAAAAACTGCATCTAACAGACCCACAACCGGTCTTATACCGTCTGAGGTATCTTTAAGCAATTTTCTTCAAAACGCCTGACTGTTTGTTTTTTCTTTTCAGCTTCCAAAACATACACAGCCGGACTCCTCCGCCTGTGGTATCTTCAAGCCACATTTTAGGAATACGGTTGAGTCTTCTACAAACTTCAGTTGCTCTTCAAAGGGGTACCGTCTGGGGTATCTTCAAGCAACAAATCAAAGATCCGTCTACTAGCAAGTTTTTCACAACTCAAGGTACCGTCTCTGCCCCTTGCAACTTTTTGAGTTTTTCCCGGCTGTATAGGTTGTTAGAGAATAATGGACTCACCCAATACACACACGACACAGTCTAGGGCAGTTGTCAATCGTTCACCGAATACAGCTGAATCTAGGACTGGGGATGCCGTCTGGGGGTGTTTGAACCACCCTTACTCTTCTACAAATCCGACCGTCTTTGTTCATGTGCAGAATGACTCGGACAAGGAAAACGGTTGTTGACCCCGAGTACCAGTCAGATGATTCATCCGGAAATCCGGTTGATGATGCATAGGTTGATGATGCTCCTTTTGACCAACCGGGTGTACCTAGCACGCCCGGGGATGAGATTCTTGAGGAATCCGGGAGCTCAGACGATGGTGAGGAAATCGCCCAGCAATCCGACTCAACTGAGTCTACAATGGAGCCGGATGCCCCTCAAGAGGATGAGGAGGCATACAATTGGCCTTCAATAAATAACCCAACAGAGGCACACATGAGCGCCCGGGACGTTGTGACTTTAAATGCGACCCTCCTGGCATTTTTGGAGAAGCGTCCGGTAGGGGCCGGATGAGAGGTCGTCGTTCCACCTGTAGATGCAGCCGTCGTCTGGGATGACGATTTGGAACACACCGATAATTACTTCGGCTGCTATGAGGCGGCATTCAAAGCCGGCCTCCGGTTCCCCCTCCATAACACAATCAAAGCCATTCTAAGGGGTTACGACCTTGGCGTCTAGCAGCTCACACCCAACTCTTGGGTGAACATTTTAGGGTACATAGGTGTCTGTGAAATGCAGGACGTGACGTCTAGCTAGGAGGCGTTTGCACATATGCACTATCTGAGTCGTGCCCAGGCGGCTGGAATGCGTGGTACACATTGACCACGCATCCGGAGTACATGATGACTTTGGAGAAGCCATCTAAATGGACCAGCTGGAAGAGCAAATTTTATATGGTCTCTTCCCCATCTTCGGCTGTGAACCATCGACTGCGCCGTTATAATAAGCACCCGGCTCTATTGGGAAAGAAATGCGCCCTCCCCAAGATACTGGAGAGGTCTTGGGATCAAATAATGGAGCCGGGCCTTTTTAAGAAGACAACTTTGCCACTAGATGATGGGACACAAGTCATTGTCCCTAAGTTCTGTCCCTCATCCGGATTGGTTCAAAGACGAGGCGTTCCTTTTCGCCTGCGGTCTTAGCACCTTTTGGAATAAACGTAGGTTTATTGCTTAACCGGCGTCTTATGCCGCCTGTATGATGTTTGAATGATCTCTGATATTTTATTTTATTTTTTTTTTTTTTTGCAGAGAAAGGACTCGAGATGGTTCCTCCCGAAAGAACGCCAGCTAAGTCAAGCGCTGAAATCCGGAAGGAGCAGCTTGAGAAAAAAAGGGCCCAACTGGCGGTCAAAGGCGATGGAGTAAGCACCGGTTGATCTTTATGCCGTCTGTATGTCTTGCAAACAATCTTGATACTAACCGGTTGCTTTGCTATCTTTTGCAGACGGAGAGCCAGAACGTTCCTCGCTCCCTGAGACAGATGGTGAAAAGACCGGGAGAGGAACTCTCCCAGCCTGCTTCACAAAGGCGGAGAGTCCCGCCTGCCCCTGCCTCTGCCTCTGCCTCTGCCGGAAGACAACCGACTTCTGAGAGGCCTACATCTGCAGGCAAAAGTCTGCGTGATCTAGGCTTAGGCTCAAGACCGGATGAGGCCGGAGCTAGGGAGCCTGAGGTTCCCTCTAGCCGGGTGCTTGCTATTGCATCCGGCTCTAATGCGGCTAGGGGTGGTGCCACCCCTTAGCCTGAAAACCAAGGTATGGATCTCACTTTTGACCCCCCCTGGCCGCTTGGGCCTGTTCGAGTCAAGTCCCAAGCTACCCAGTCAGGGGATTCTTCATGCAGCCGGCAGAATATAGGCGCTTCCATATGCTCAGTACCTAACAAATAAATCTCATGATGCAAATGCCTCTTCTCGTTGGTCGGATCTGTAGAATTATGCCAAGAGAATGCTAAGGACTCTCACCCGATCCGAAAAGGAGGCGGTACCGGGTATCAACCAGGTCAACATTGACCGCATCAACTCACTGCTGGCTGAGGTAATATACCGGTTGGGGTACTTTTGTGCAATTTTGCTAATTGCCGGTTGTAATATGACTGAGAAGCTAACTTCTTTACCGGCTGACTTTGCAGGTGATGTTGAGGGTTGATGGGATGAAAGCCCCCTTGCGGAAGAAGCAAGAGGAGGTAAGCGATGCCTAGAGACGGGCAACCGAATTAATAGATGTCTGTCAATATAACTCCCTTATGCTTGAAATCCAAACTAAAGCCCGGGAGATGAAACAGGAGGAGCTGATCTGGGAGCTCACGGCTGCTGCTGATACAACCAACAAAAAGGCTGCCGACTGTGAACTCTAAGTTAACCAACTCAAGGCTAACGTCAAAGCCTTGGGGGAGGCTGACAAGGAGAACACCGGGCTGAAGGCTGAGGTCACCCGGCTGAAGGATGAGCTGGCCAAGACTCAGAAGGAGCACAAGGACCACCTGGCGGCTGAGCAGGACCGGCTGGTTACCGAAAACAAGCGCGACTGCGAGGAGCGCATGAAGATGGCATGGTCTTTGATCCATCCGGATACCGACTATGCTTTCTTCGACTTGAGGTACAAATACGCTACAGAAGTATTTGACGCTCAGGTTCTCGGGACTGAGAAGCCGGCGCCCTTCGAAGAGTGGGACGACATCAAGGAGGAAGAGCATGCAGAAGAGACTGCTCCGGGTGAGGCTGGAGAAGCCCAAACCCAGCAAACTCAAGAAGCCCCTCCTCCAGTCAGGACTAGCCGTCAGAACAGCAACAGCAACAGCAGTAGCAGCAGCAGTAGCTTATCATTTTTTATTCTTGCTTTCATCTGGCCTGCGTGCCGCGTACTTTTGTATCTTTTTCCCGGAAAAGGGTCCGGCTGACAATTGAATTTCTTATATATATATATATATATATGCCGACTGTGTCGGTTTTGTTTTGAGTCAGCTGACAATTTTTTTACAATTTTTGCCTTGAATGAAATATCTCTGTTGCAATTTGAATTGATACATGCGGAATGTCGGATGCACTGGCTCTGTCTTCCCCTGGACGGTTGTTTGCTTATAGTTGCCAACTCTGAACAGGCAATCGTCCATATTAGCATCCGGTTTAATAAATAGGCGGTCCTTGACCGTTTACAAAACAGAATTATTTCTAAGTTGTATCTACCGGCGGTGCCGGCTAAACACAACCTAAAATACTCGTTTAATTGGCTGCGGATTACCCCTAGGGTATCCAGCAATGCCGTTGGTTGGTATGCAGGCGGCCTGAGGCCGGACGTATGCATTTTAACCAATTGCAGATTAAGCAACAAGGTTTTGACCTTGTTTATGGAAATTGTAGCCGG